AAATCCTGTTTTGGCATAAAAAAATGACAATAAACTCGTATTTTTTACCTTTTTTCGTATAAAAAAATTGTGGATTTTTCATATACAACAGATAAAACATGTGACTTTTTTTATGCCAAAATAGGGTTTAAAAAACTTCTGATATAAACACTTTTGTAGAGCTTCTCAAGATCTATCGAACTATGTAAAAACATCAAAGAAAAGTCCCACTCGATTTTAGCATTATTCGTATTTTACTATTTGCAGCTTTTTACGCAATTTTTCTCTTAGTATTAAAGTTCGTTTTTTATTTCTGTATTTAATATTCAAGGAACCTCAATTTCAAACATGTGTATACATATTGTACTCGAGCTGTACTATCTGAAGAAAAAAAGAAAATTGAATCTAAGTCTTATAGTTTGAAACACGAGCCAAAACAAAAAAGTGGTACAATACTTTTCAGGCGAACAGTATTTCACTATTTTCGTTCTCAAAAGACTGAGTTTTACTTATTCAAGAGTAAAAGAATATTCTTAATCATCATAATTTGTCAAAACCATCGATTTTTAGATCATTCGCTGTTAACATCTCAAAAAATTATTGCAACTGGATCAATATGTTTCAAATAGATCGTTTCAACAGAGAAAATTTCAAAATTCTCTACTACATTAATAACTGAGTGTCGAAATTCATTCAAAAGTTTTTTTTCTGAAAAAAAAGGATAGTCTAAAACTTTTCGATATTACACAAAAATACCACTCTCTGATGGACTTTACTGCAAGAACAACAATCAGTAATATAAGATTGATAACAAGATTGTCTGAGCAACATGTAGAGAATGCTAGTCATCGAATACAAATAATTGAAAAGAAAAAAATATATTTTATATCGTAGGAGTATGGTAATCAATTTCAAATTAGAATATTTTATTGAGACTATAGGATACGATTCAGATCCGAGATCGAAAACGTTTAGTCAATTGGATTCGAATCCAGATCCCAAAAATTTTTGAATCTGATAGATTCTATATTTGACAATGCTTCTTCTCTGATATAGAGAAAAACAGAAAATGAATGCAAAACTTTTGTACTACTTCAAATGAAAAAATATATATGATTTACTTGATTAAGATTAAGACTTGTTTCAATTGAGATTGGTACTAAAAAAGGTATAACTCTTGTAGCTAGAATTTCCCGTGGTAAACCACCAGATTTTGATGATGACATAGCAACTTTTATAATTCCTAATATTGCCATAAGAACAGCTGGCTCACGGGACGGTATAGATTGAAGTAATGGTATTACTTCATCAATAATAATCCATTTATCTAATGATTCAACTAATTTTCCAAGACATATTAAACAATTAACACGAACCTGAAATCGAAAAAAGTAAAATAAAATTCAATAACTATTTACTTACACTTAATGTTATTGTTTCAAAACAGATCTTTTTTATACGTGGTAATATACAATATTTCATTGCTTGTAAATCAATTAAATGTGCAAATGATGGAATTATTGCTAAACAAAGTTCCTAGAAAATAAATTAATTTAATTAAATATTTTATTTGATATCGCGGAAGTAATAACACAAATATTGTCCAAAATTTTCTTTTTTTCGTTTGTTTTTTAAAAGTATGAATTTAAATATACTCAACTAAAATACATGATAGAAAATCAACAAACTTATGAAGGAAGTTTCCGAAACTGATTAATCGCTGTAAAGCCAACACAGTCTACATCATGTAGAATTAAATCAGTTACAAATATAGCGAAAAATAGGTGGTATTGTTAACATATTGTGGTTGAGATACTGCACTTATTAAATCAAAGATGCACCTCCATCCCTAAGAAACATCGAAAAAACTGTGTTTTTGACTTGAAATTTAGCATAGAAATTGGTCTTAAACATAATAGTTCATTGTGAAAGTTCAAGTTCGTTTTGTCTTTTCTATTTGAGGATACAGCGGGTATCCGTAAAAGACGTGGACGTCCATACCGTTTACCAGTGAGTAGTTTGACTTGACTTAGGTACATACTGCAAATATTAGGCTTTTATATGCTAGTCATCGAAAAATAGAAGAGATATATTTTCTCAATTTTAAGTCTTATAATTGAATTTTTTGTAGAAAGCTCGTGTGAATATGACTAATCGATCTCTATTATCAATAACCGTATTTGACAGTATAGAGTGTCCTACATGCTTGCATCAGCATCATCTTCTCTTCTTCTACCATCGAAGAACAGCACGATTTCGAACAACAATGTGAACTCAATGTTCAGCAAAGAAATAGGAAGAGCAGAAATAGAGCACAGATATCAATGAAGCAGATCAGAAAAGAAGAGTATACGATGTTGATGTTATCATATATGACACTCCATACTGTGAAATACGACTACTGACAATAGAAATCAATTGAATACGGTCACACGATCTCTATATGCAAAATTCAATTATACAGTCTACGACTAGCATATAAAAGCCTAAGATTTTAGACGTGTGCCAAAGTCGAGTCGGCCTACCGACTGGTAAAAGATATGAGTGTTCGTGTCTTTTACAGATAACCGTCATATCTTCAGGTAGGCAATACAAAACGATTCTGAACTTTCACAATAAACTTTTCTGTTTTAGGTCTATCTCTGCGCTACATTTCAACTCGAAAATAAGTTTTTCCGGTATTCCTGAACTAGACCATGACTGATTTTGTTTTAAAAAATACAGTATCTGAAGAACAATCAGCTAACAATACGAATTCTATCGAAAATATTCAATATTCATTAAGGTCGTTTATGTGAAATTTTGACAATTTTTTTTATTGTCAAAGTTCAGATGCCATATTTACGTTTACCGTTAGGATCTATATGATGAGTATTGTTCCGATTGGAATGCGTTCAATCGGAGACAACTTCTCTCGTTCATGTCAAAAAAATAACAAAAAATATCTATAGAAAAAATACAGAATAATTACTAATGATTGTCTTATCTTCAAGGTAAAATATTTAAAATCCAACGCGATCTCTTTTCTTCGCAAAAAGATATTAGTACTGCTATATATTTTACTATAACTTCTCCTGTAATAAATGTATAATCAATACAGAATAATCAATTCTATTCTTTCGAGATTTGTATCATTTAATTTTCGTATCTTTTATTAAATCATACTTGAACTTGTGATGATTCAGCATCTAATGCATTATAAACAACAGGTAAAATATGTTGTTTTATATCTTCGGGTGGCGTTTTTGTTAACATTAAATTCATATTACGCATCAATATAAGAAGTGTCTAGAAATATACATTAGATAAAAGAATGAACAATATTAAAATGCTATACCTGCATAATACAACCAGATGTACCACTTCCCTTAAGGAAGAAAAAGAAAGAAATGTTTGGAATTAATTAAATTAATCAGGTTACTATTACTTGAGGCGGTTTTTGAATTTTAAAAACTTGTTTAAGTTTAGGAAAAATATACTTTTGATATTCTTCATTACTTGCTTTTTCCTTGAAATAAAAAAAAACAAATATGAAAGAGTATGCAAATTATCATTCAACATACAGCTATAAGAAACATATTGGGAAGAACAAATGGAACCATTTCAGGATTTATAAATTCTAATTCAAGTGCTGAAGCAATACGTTGTAAATTAACACGCTGAAAAAGCAAAAATTAGATTAAAAAAAGTATTATGTCATTCAATCATCCTATTAAATTTTACCATTGGTAATTTATCGATAACTTGTGGTAGACTTTTATAAAACATTGAACGTTGAAGATTATCAACTTGAAATAATGAATCAAGATATTCTAAAGTTTTTGTTCCTACATCTTCAAAAAAAGGTATCTAAAAAAACAATAATCACAATTTTTAAAATATATAATGTTTTCTATTCTTATATTATTTACTTTTGCAAATTGTCCAGCATCAGGTCTTAATTCTGGTTTTAAACTAAGTAACATTTTAACATGATCCCGAACTTCCAACGGTAAAATAGATAATTTTGTTGCATTAAGAGATTTAAGATCATCACACATTTTAATAAATATTGAATAGTTATCATGACATTCATGTAATGTTTTACCATGATTATATAATGCATACATAAGCATACCTAACGAAAACATATCAGACTGAGTATCATAAGATTTCGTTGTATGATATTCTGGTGCCATATAATCAAGGCGTGGATTTATTATTGGTGGGATATTTCCATCATATTCTCGAAATGGGTAAGTTGCCTTAATAAAAAAAAAAAAAACATTTTTTATGTATATTTATAAAATAAGAATCATGTTATTTTTTACTCCATCAACTGATCCTTGAATACATAATTCAAATCCAGATAATTTCCATGCACCATTCGAATTAATTATTATAGATTCTGGACAAAGATTTCGATGAAATAATTTAACTTCATTATGTAGAAATGCTAAACCATCACAAAGCTATCGAAAGAATATGAAATAAAAAATTTTATTTTGACAAAAAGACAATGCAAACTTGAATAATTCCATAACGAATTTCAACATCATAAAGTTTATAATCTTCAAATTCTTTTGGTATTGGTTGAGTTACATTATCATAAAATCCAAGACAATTAGCTAGACTACCAAAACATGATTCAGTTGCAAATGCAAGACTATCTCTATAAATATTAACATTTCATCTTAAATATTTTTTTTCATTTATTTAAATTCAAAACCTTGATTCTTCAAGTGGATGTTGAAGACTTAAAATACGTGGATGTTTTATTTTTGCTAATTGTTGTACACCTAGAAAATAGACTTAAACATAAATAAAAAGAATTACTAATGAAATATAAAAAAACCTTTTTTCATTGCATCAATAATCAGTTCACGATCTTTTTTGGCATATTTATCTAATAAACGTTTTTCCAAAACGAATACAGCAGCTTCCTAATACATATTTAAATATGGATTTTATATTACTTTCTATTTATGATGTTTGTCTTTTTTATGAGAATAATGATAATTTGTAGGATAGATATATGAATTAAGCTTAAGAACAATAAGATTAACATACAATAAAGAAATAATGCATACAAAGGGATGTGTAATGATCAGAAATTCTCACAAGACATTTCCTCAAATAGTTTCTGTACGTTGTAATTAGGAGTTCAATTCAAAACCAAATTTTACTTTTAGTAATGTCCTATTAATCATTATTGTGTTCTACACGCATTCTACTCATATTTCTTCAATTTAAAAAAATGATATCAAATTAATAGTTATATCAAACTTAAGTTGATATCAATGCGTTTACAAAATTTGGTTGTAATATTATTAAGTAATATAAAAGATTTATTTTCTCTCTACATTTGGATTCTTGATAAACTAGATCATCTTTCTTTTTCAGTTTTATTTTAATACATGCTGTAAACTTTTTTAATGAAAAGTTTTCATATTTATTTATTAGAATTACTCATAAATCTTTTATCATGATCAAAATTCTTAAATAATCATTACTTTCTTTTAATCTACTGTTTTTATTTTGTCTAAGTCTTCTATTACTGAATATTATGTAATCTTACAACATAGAAAATCAGAAAAAGATATTTGTTTTATTAGAACCTGTTTAGTTGAACGTTTAACAGCTCCATAAATACGCCAGAGAAGACCAGGTCCAGCAGAACCAAGTGGTCGAATTAACTATAAAATAAAAAACAAATTATTATTTTTTTTATTCTATCTTAAATATTTCATTCTATACTTCATATTCACGTGTAACTAAATTTCCTGGTAAAACATCTTTAAGCATTTTTTGACCACCACATGCTGTATCAACCATAGATTTAACAACAACATTTTTAACTTGATCACCGTAAACTTTTAACTTTTCAAGATATTCCATGATTGTCTGAGATTCAATCAACAGCAACAAATGCACCAAAAAAAGATGTGAAAACAGAACAATTTACTATTTCTCTGATTGGATAGAACAGAGCGTCATCTATTTTTTTTAAAGTATTTTCTATTCTTATGAACAGCATTTTATTATTGAATTTTAAAAATCAATCTATTTTAAAATTATTATTCATAAAAAGAAATAAATTAATAACTCTAAATTAAAATGAATATTGATTGGTTTACTAAATTTCTACACTTGACTTTCATCTCGTCATCGTTTATTTATTTGCTTATTTATATAAATATATATCATTATTTTCCGTTAGTCAATCAATTGTGACTAAATGGAAAAGCAAAAAAATATGATGACACTACTAATGCGTGTTTTTTTTCTTTTAATTGAGAAAAAACATTTTCCTATGAGATAGTTGTGTGTTTTTTTTTTTGTTCTTATTTGATTGTATTTGCATGTTAAAAAAAAAGGAACTGTAATCCTTCTTGATTGATATTAAAAATATTTATTTAATTATTCTATTACATCTATAATTCGTTTTTCTTTTGTTTTGCTAGTCATGATTAATTTTTTATACTGAAGAAAAAAAAAAAACAATAAATAAATAAATAAATAATCATGATGAACGAACATAGTTCGCCGCAGCCAAATAACCCAACATCGACTAATATGCAATATGGTTATCCAACAAGTAAGAATTGTCTCAATCTAACACTTTATATTCGAAAGAGAAACAAACCAAAAAAAACAAAAGAATTTCTTTTTTATTTCATTCGATCGTTCAACTAAATATTAAGTGTACACTATAGGTCGTTTCGATTTTATGAATATGTCACCAATGCAAAATCCAAGTGATATCTATTCGTATTATCCTCCAAGTCTCTATCAACCATTTGGTACATTTGATGAACATAATCAATGGACATCAACTGATACATCTACTGGTATTCCACCACCACCACCTGGTCCATTATCATATCATCCTTCAATGTATACCCCATCTGGACTTGATATTCCACGTAGTCCATTTGATTATTCAGCACCTCATGCATATCCTCATTATCATCCTGCTTTTACACCGTCAACATTTCCAGGTGCACCATCGACAGGTACATCTGCTTTTGACATGTCATGGAATTCTCATAATTTACCAATGCAAGTTGGAGTTCAACAACAAATGCCACCTATTGGTGGTGGTGGTCCTATATCAAATAAAAAACCATCAGTTTACGATGAGTATCCATCAACTAGTGGTGGTGTTGGTGATATGCTTGCTCAACATATGAATTCAATTGATCTTAGTAATAATAATAATAATCTACAAAATTATGACAATGGTAAAAATGATCATACACAGAATAATGTTAGTGTATTATCATTGAAAGAACAGCAAAATTATCAATCAAATAGTAGTAATCATTCATTCGCACGTCCATCTCAAACATCATCATCTGGTCCAAAATCTTATGCGTCCGTTGTTTCATCTGATACAATAAATTCAACTAGTAATAAACCAACTTCATCTATTTCGGATTTAGCTATTTATTCAACAAATGAACGTACATCAAATATTTCTAATGACACTTTAAATACACGTTCGAATACTCAACAATTACGTAATAATACAGCAGGATATAATCCTCGTAATCAACAACAACAGCAACAATCATCTGGTAGTGGAGATTTTCTTAATTGGACAAATAATAATTCTGATCGCTCATCTCATAATAATAATACTAAAAGACAAAATTATCCATCATCTCGTACAAAAAATGGCAATCAAGAAAGTCTTGAAACAAATAAACATAATCATCAATACAATCCAAAAGATTTTAATTTAAATCCAAAAGGCGCTCGATTTTTTGTTATTAAATCTGTAAGTAATAAAAACCTGTGAGTACAATCCCGACAGGATTAAAATGTAAAACACGATGTGTAACTGCTGTTGTTAATCATAAGGAAATTGTTTTATTCGATCTATTTTTGACCATATTTCGTCATCATCCTTTTAATTAATCTTCCAGAAGTACTTTATATATTAGAACAAGACATTACTGATATAGAGTTTGGTATTGTATATAGCCAGCTTCTGTGGCGAAGAGAGAGGATGCTATTAAGATGTCTCTCACGGTCTGTTATAGGGATATCAGGGTGTCTGTGGGAGGAGGTAGGATAGCAGTAGAGCCCTACGGGTTGGTTCTGGACTCGATCAGGTTCGGATCTGAAAATTTTGAACCCGATGGTCTCTAATCATCTGAGAAGTATGCAGAGTGCGCTAGTAAGCAGATACAAAAAACTGGAAAAAAGTATCTCGTATTTTTGAGTGAGTATTCAATTTCGATCAGAAAAGTTCATTGAGAGTATCAAAGTACGGAAGGGTCGGGTTCAGATCTTAAAAGTTTGGATCCGACGAGTTCTACAAGGCAGCATGCTCAATTTTCTACTTCTATATTTCCATACCTCTGTTAGATCGTGTTTTACAAAATAAATAAAATTTTTAAGAACAAAGAAAAAATTCTCTTGTTTCATTTTAGTATTCTGAAGATGATGTACATCGTTCAATAAAATATAATATTTGGTGTTCAACTGAACATGGAAATAAACGTTTAGATAATGCATTTCGTGAACGTGAAGGCAAAGGTCCAGTTTATTTATTTTTTTCTGTTAATGCATCTGGACATTTTTGTGGTATGGCTGAAATGATGTCACCTGTCGATTATGAACATCAAACAGATGTTTGGCATATGTCAAATAAATGGCAAGGTAAATTTGAAGTTAAATGGATTTATGTTAAAGATGTACCAAATCAACAATTTCGTAATATACGTTTGGAAAATAATGAAAATAAACCGGTGACTAATTCTCGAGATACACAAGAAATACCATATGAAAAAGGCAAATTGATGTTAAAAACATTACATATGTATCGTCATAAAACATCAATATTCGATGACTTTCAATATTATGAATCAAAACAAGCTGAAGAAACAACACAACAATTTTCAAATAATGATTTTAATCATAATAAACGACAATTATCATCTAATAGAACATCAACAACAGTTCAATTTGAACAGCAACAAAATGAACATGATCATGAAAACTAATAAAATAGAATTATAAATATATTCACACTAAAGTCTTTTTTAAAAGGATATACTAATTTATATTCTTTAGATTTCTATACAAGAAATCCTTTTGTTTATTTATATATATACATATACATGAACATTTTAACAGACATTGATCACTCTCGGTTTTGCGCGTGTGTGTATAGTTGGTATGAGGCTATTTATTTCTTTTTAACATATTGTGCTACCATCATACCACAACAGCAAATTGTTGCTGTTGTTGTTATTTTATTATTTTTCTTTTTGTTGTTGTTGTTTATTTTCTCAGCATCACAAAATTCTACTCATTCTCATATATAGATTCATAATTTTCATTATTATTGCTGTTTAGATACCTTCACATCATACTTCTTCATGCTTAACATGTTCTTTATTTTTATCCCTAAAACACTTCATCAATATACTTTATTTACATGTGTGATCATTATATTCTATTCTTGTTTTTGTTCCTATTAACCGTCGTCGTTTCATTGCATACACACACCACACTTTCTTTTCTTTTGTTTTTACATTGGAGTCTCTTGTATGTGTGTCGTCATCTTTTGTTGTTGCCTTGTTTTTATTTGCAAGATTTAAAATGAAAAGACAAAAACAAAGGAATTCGAAATACATGATAGGACATAAACAAAAAAACATATACTGAACATAGTAGAATTTCATTCCATTTCCGCACTACATTATAATTGAAGATAAGCAAAAAAAAAAGGAAAGAGATTTTCTTTTCATAGATTTCTACAAATTTGACCATAAGCAAATATAAAATAGAATAATTAACCGAGTAGCACCTTTCTAAATTTACTATTCATATCTTCCGAATTTGTGGTTGTCATTTGACATGTTGATGTTGGTGTACATGCGGGTGAACAAAGAAATTGAAGTAATGGTAAGTAAAATTTGCCACAAAAATCAACAAATTTAATATTTTTATGACAACTTTCAAAATAAACACCTAAAATTTTAAACAAAAGAAAGAAATTTGTAAAGAATTTTGTTTCATAAAAAATAATTACAAACCTTTGCATTTCGGATTTAAACATGATTTAGCGGAATTTAAATATTCAATAAGAGATTTTGGTATTGACTTATCATCATAATTTAATTTATGAAGTTTTATTGTTCTACCAGCTAATTCTTTTAATGATGGAACATCATATGTTAAATCACGAACAAAACGTACAACAAGTGGATTATTTCTTAAACTTAATTCTTGTAAATCAAGACGTATTATATCTGGTGGTAAAGCACAAAATTGATTATTATGTAATGAAAGTGATTTTAAATGAGTCAAATCTTAAAAAATAAAGATTTTTATAAAGCAAAATCAATTTTTTTCATCATACGAGAAATTGAACGTGGTAATGTTCTTAGACGATTGTCACATAAATTCAAAACAACTAATGAATGCATACATCCAATGGAATCAGGTATATTTGCAATTCGATTTCCACCTAAATAAAGTACTTCAACTCTAAGTAGAGAAAAAAAAATAGAAATAATAAATAAATAAAATTTGTTTTTCTTTCTTTACTTGGTCAATGTTTGAAATAGATCAGGTAAACTAGATATTTGATTTGAACCCAAATAAATTTCTTTTAAATTAATCATTTGAAATAATTGATAGGGAAATTGTTTAAAACGATTTCCACCTAAATTAATAACTTCTAATTGTTTTAATTGTTGCATTTCTTTTGGAAATGATAAATCGTCAAGAGAATTATTTTTTAAATATAAATTTTTTAAATTTATTAAAGATACAATTTCGTGTGATAATACAACTAATTGATTATTTGATAATTCAAGTGTTCTTAATGATTGAAATTTTTGAATTTCATTCGGTACTGCAAAAAATTTATTAGAATTTAATTGAAAATTTTTTATACGATTTGGATTTTCAATTGTTGATAATAATTGATTAAAATCTATTTCAGATAAATTTCGATTCGAATAATCCAATGTATCGCTATTAAGAAAAAAACAATATTAAAATTTCGATCATCATTTTTTTCAATAAAAAATGAATACCTGAAGTCATCGAAATCATCATTAAGATCATAATCATCTTCGTAATCTTCTTGTAAAGGTATTGCAGTCGCCATTTTTGTTGTTTTTTTGTGTCTGGAACAAGGAATAAATTATTTAATCTTGGTACATGTGACAGAAAAGAGGAAAAAATATCATTGGTCGGTCATATACAAAGACATATAATAAAAACGCAAGGACAAAGATGAAAAATAACGAAAACAACGATTTGTATCGATATGATTTCGTTTTATATTAAATGACTATGATGACGATGGTATTTTTTTTTTTATTAGATGATAAAGAATGGGTAAAAAAGTAGGAATGTTACACTGAAAAAATATAAATGCATTATTTTATCGCTGGAGATAGAGATAGTGCTAGAGAAATGCCGAGTCATATCCCATTGCAATAATATATATATCTTATATCCGATCCGTTTCTTTTTTTATTGACAAGCATACGAGATCATTTTACCTGAAGAAAAAAAACAAACTAATCAACTCTGATCGTGCATTCGACAAAATAGGAACAAAACATGTTAGCGATAAGTTCTTTTCATAAGACATTATAGACTCGTCGAAAGAAGGAAAGAAAAAAAACCGGTTTAAAACTAGTGTTGTTGACTATAAATCTAGAAAGGAAGAAAATGTCAATCGAACTATTGAGTTGTTTACAAAAAAAAAAGTATTTGTATAAAAAATAAGACTACAAGAAATACAATGAACTATGAAACCGAATGAAGAACATTAAGAATACAATTGAAATTTTGAATTTTATATTTTTGATTGGCTATCATTTTTAAATCATTAGTAAGTGAAATAATTATAAAGTTCGTAAATTACTTAAATGGTTATTTATTAATTATTTAGGTGTATTAATAAATTAAAAACACAACAAAATAAAAAAATACTTAAGTATATATTAATACTAAAGTTAATTATAGAAATTGAAATAGTCGAACGTAAATCGAAAAAATAAACTTGTTCAACTTCAAAAAAAAAATTTTTTTATTTCATAATAAACGGCTAAAATCAAATTATGACTTATACGATAGTATATGACTTTGTGCATTAAATACTAGCAATGCCTTCAGTGTTGGATCTCGGATTTTTATGATGGGTTGGAAGGGGGATGATAATGAACATAAAATGTATATTAAAGCTCCTTAGAGGTGATATCATATCATTTTAAAGTCTTTTCTATTAGGAAAAATCGAGACCATATTGCCAGAAAGAGGCGATCGCCCCAGTATTATTTCCTTCCTCTAAATTCGCCACTGAATATCTTAGGGACAATGAATAAAGTAATTAAAGATGACGGAATGTCATGTTTTATCAACTTTTTTGACAATCGCATCAAATAATGCCAATAATTAATTAATTGAATAAAATTCTTTCTCCATTAAGGCAAAAATATTTTCTACAAAACCAACAATATCTTTTGAAGAATATAGCGCATTCTACCAAGCAACTAAGTCAACAAAAGGTATAATTTGCATTCCTAATGATTCTTCAAAAAGAAAATATCACGCCTCACCTTATAATTTACCATCGATTATGCAAACCGATTTAAATAAATAGAAAATCAATAAAGAATACCGTCGAATAAGGTCGTAAATCTATCTACCTCTGTACAATTCACTTTCAATAGAATAAACGGATAGAGTACAAAATTCTACACATTTCTGTCTATTTATTTTTGTTTTTGAATGCATAAAAAAACATTTGAGGACTGAGTAGTCTTCGGTATCTATTACTTTTGGGTATTTCGGTTAACAGCTATGTTACCTGTTATTTTTTCTTTAATAACTCCAATATGAAAAGTAATAGCATAGGTTGCCACAGATTTTTCATTCTGTACAAAATGACATAGTAATTATGTTTATTTTTGACTTCTCTCTCAGATTATACAGGGTCAAATGGATGCGATATCGTACTCGTTTGATCCTATATAGCCTAAGAGAGAAGTTAAAAATAACCATGATTGCGACGTCATTTTGTAGAACATGAAAGACTGCGTCAATCTATCCTATAACTTTTCATATTGAGATTATATAAGAAAATATGACAGGTATTTTAGCCATTAACCGACGTACTCAAAAGTAATAGACTCCTAAGAGTACTTTATTTAGTCCTCGAAATTTTTTGTGTGCATTTAACAAAAACAAAATAAATGGACAGAAATGTGCAGAATTTTGTGTTCTATCTTTCTATTCTATTGAAAATGAATTCTACAGACTTAGACAGATTTACGACTTCACTCGGCGGTGGCTGTTTAATGAATTCAAAAATTTTTTTTTAAATATTTTCTAAATGAAAATGATTCAAATTGAAAAATATTACAATGTAAACACATTAATCGGCATAGCTATTCGTTTGAAATATTGTAAACTATTATTAGCAGCAAAGGATAAATCTTTATTGTTAGTACAATAATTCAATTTTCATTTTTTTCTCATTCATGCTTGGTATTTCTTTTTTATGCTAGTTGTTGAATTTCGTATTTATTGAATATGAGTTATTACGATCGCTTGTTGATTTACATTAATTAAATACTTCTAATTGTTATAACGAAAGATCTATTTGTCTTAGTATAGTTTCGTCTATTTACGTATTGATGATACATTAACAAACAGTTAATAAATTTCCATGTCATCAAAATTGGCGATTTTCTCGAGATTTACTAAGTTGATTAATCGTGAGATAATATCGCGATTTTTCAAATCATATTTTCGATGATTCAACTTGATCGTAGTATTTAGGTCTACGACTATGACTACGTCTCGACGTGTATTATACCACTATTATTTACCATCTTACTCATACATGTTTTTCGTCAATGAGGAAGGAGATGATTTCTTTCTTCCGATCCATAGTAATTAATACGAAGAGTATTTTATTTTAGGGGATATGATTTATGGTCAGCAAAATAAATGAAACGGTTGTATAGTAATTAATTAGGTTTGTAAATAAATTTAAAAACCAGTAAATATAATTTACTAACAGTCAATTATATTAAAGACGCAGTTAAAAAATTGGAATGGTTATTAACTGAATTACTTTTGTTGTTCTCTTCCTTTCTCTCTAGCTGTTCTCCGTATGCTCTCGCTCTTGTGACTTACTGCTTTTTAACCTACATATTCTTGTGGATAAGAAGTATTATTTTTTTTAATTATCCTTATAACTTATTATCTAAAATAAACGAAAAAGAAACTTCTTGACTTTTGCCTTGATTGTTGTCTTTATCTATCCCCATATATACATATTTTATGTTTTTCAGAATAAAAATGACATATTTTGTATTTACAAGATTTGATGTATTTGCAATAGTGGAAATATTACAATTTTCTCAATATGAAAGCGATAAATCAGATGAAAAGATGGTGAGAGAATATCATAAAATAAATAGAAATAAAAGAACCCTTTTAAAAAAGGAATTCAAAATGTTAGGTAAAAAAATGCATTTGATAATGAATAGCTCAAATCAAACGATGGTTGGTTTAGAGGTATAAAACTGTATGCATCGAGTACAAACAATGTTCTAGAGCTCAACAATAAAACAATTAAATATAATGGAATATTTCAACAAAATTCATGTTTTATCAAGACTTTTAGCAGTTTCTTCAAATATTATTAAGAATTGTTCAACTAAACAAGATTCATCGTCCGTTAATGCAGGAATTTCTGTTACAGAATCAACAATATCTTTAGAACTATGGACTTTATCACATCAATAGATTAAATCAATAAAATATATGATTTATATTTCAAATGATTCTTCGAAATAATATCTTATACCAGCTTGTGATTTACAATCAATTACACAAGATTATTTAAAACAAAACTAATGGGCAATGTTTAATCAATTCAAAAAAATCATTTTAAATTTTATGTATGAAAATGTAAAATGATTCACACTGAAAAACATCAAAATGCAATTGTCCAACATTTTTCAAGCATTATATTTGCAAGCACGTTATGAGTAAGGCTATTCGTTGGAAATACTGTAAACCACCACCAGACCAGCAAAAGCTTAAATCTGCTTTACTAATGCAAGAATTCAATTTTCTTTTTCATTTTTTTTCATTTATTCTTTAAATTTCTTGTTTACTTTTTGGTTTTTTAATTTATTTAAAACTTTTTTTACTGTTACTTATATTTGATAAACTGACCATTTCACAATTAATTACTGATAATTTTAGCACTGAATGTTTAATACTTATACTAATCATTTACATATGTTTTTTCTGACCACTTTATTGATATCGAAAAAAAATCACCCTGTTAAAAAATGTAATTTCTCAGTTCATAGTATTCATTTTTCCGAATAAACTTCTTTTCCAATAAATAGAACTGGAAAAAAGCTACTGAATAAAAGTATCTTCTTTCGAAAACATTCTACCATTTGTTGAAAGAAAAAAGAAATTCAAAAATAAAATATACGAAATCTGACAGCAATCAGCATTTTAAGTAGAACAATCGTATGAAATGAAAAATTTTTGAATAACATTGCCTGAATTCTAAAAGAGCAGAAAGAATACAAAAAAGGAAGAAGCTTTTCTTTGAACCACCCTGTAATGTTTGATTATTTATTTCGAAAGTTGAGTTTCGTCATGTACGTAAAAACAACATTACATGGAATAAAGAGGAAGAAAAAAACTAATTTTGTATTCGTCTTCTGTAACAAACGTACAGTTCTGCCAAAAAGTGATGCAAAAAATTTGGTACTTTTTTAACAGCTAGTAAAGTTAGTTATACTGTCAACTAGTGTTTCTCAGTATTTTGATCTCACAATATATTTTTAAACAGAGCTCCGACGAAAGTATTTGTACTTGTACTTTTCGTATGTTTTCAAGTAAAAGTACAAATATTCATCAGGTGTACTTTTGTTTTCTACCCATACTTAAGTATGAAAAACATGACTTTGCACTTTTTATTTGAACTATAGATAAAATAAATTTTGCCAATAAGGTTACCTATGTCTGATAGGTTTTTAAATATCATCATAATATCTTCTGACGAACAAAACATGATAATAAAAATGTTTACTCTGATATGCTGGTACATTTACTGTATGTCTCTTGCAAAAACTATCTGTCGTCATTCTTCGAATTTCTTTAAAATTATGGTGAACATCTGAAGATGATAATACTTGTTTAAGTTAGTTATTAGAGTAAAAAATTTTTATTATGTTTTGTTTGTTAGAAGATATTTAAAAACCTATCAGACATAAGCAACCTTATTGACAAAATTTATTTTATCTATACCTAAAGTAAAAATTACAAAGTCTTGTTTTTCGTAGTTAAATATAAGTATAAGTGTAAAAATTCTACTTGAAGTACCTATATTTTTGTTACCTTTGTTTTGAAAACTCTAGGAAACTCTCAAACCATTATAATCTATTGCCCAAAGTATTCACTCATTTTTTGGTTACTTAAAGTCAGAATTTTTTACTTCTTTCGAATATGTGTTCAAAATTGCCTTGTAAAGTAAAATTATTTCAAAAGGTTCAAAACAGTACTTGTACAAGATACGGTTTTGTTCAACTTTGTATTTCAATTGGAACCGTTTTTAACGGCTCACTTTTGTTTATTGTACAAAGCGTGCTATTTGCTGTTGGATGACAAATTTTAAAACTTTCGTATTTCTAAAAGTAATTTGTTTTGTACCAATACTGATTTCTATAGATATTCACTATTTAGTGAAAACACATAGATAGCATGTCGATTATTGTAAATTGCTCAGTACTCCGAGATAGTGTTGATTTTGAATATTTTGCTTTGTATAGACACCGTTTCCGACTCTTTGAAAAAAAAATGACTGATGATTGTTCTTACTTCAGAAAAACACACCTGAACATATATTCAGAAATAACGAAAAATTCTATTTCTAACTCAAATCAGTTGTCTTTTAGTTATCAAAAAATTAGCGTATATCATATGCTAAGACTTCCACGGTATACGTTACATAGTAACAGTACCGAAAATCGTTCCCGAATATTTTTATTAAACTGAGAAGTACTTTGCCAGCATATGCAAAAAGTATTCAGAATTTTTCACAGTTCAGATATGATGTAGAATTTTTCTCGTTTACTTGTCTCAGTTTCTCGTACGTACTGTTATATATGTTTAACAAATTCTTTCAGTCTACATCACTATTAGTTTTATTCAGAACAAAAGAAAATTTTCATTCATTAGAATAATTTTCAATGAAATCTATATATATGTATACTCAAACAAATGATTCTTTAAAATTTGATTCACGATTTAAAGCATCAAGTACATCTTGTACACTAGGATAATAATATGATCTAGTTTTTGAAGTTTTATTATTTGAAAATTGATCTGTTGTTACTGAACGAGGTAATCCATACGATCGAATTGTTGAATCAATATTAGATGAATTAATATTCGTTGTTGAATTTGTTTTTGTTTGTAAAAAATATTGTTGTTGTTGTTGTTGCTGTGAACGTTCCATTAATGTATTTAATTGAAAGTTTGAAATGGGTACAGGTCGTTGAATTAAATGTGAATGATTTGTTTGAGATGTTGTTAGATTTGTTGAAAAATCACGATCGATTGGTTCAAAATAATAATTTTTATTATGCAAAATAGGGCTTGTATTTTCATATAATCTCCGATTATTAGTATTCATAGGTTGCCAAATATCATTATTATCTTCATGATAGGACGCATTTGTTGCTATAAAAAAAAAGAAAAGAAAAAAAAAGCATATGGAATATGCTAACAATCTTCGAAGTCTATCATGAATATTGTTGATTTTATTTTTGTTCCCGTTTGGTAAATCTCTAGAGAGACGTAACATGCCAAAAGAAAATATAAAAAATTAAATCGCATATGCCGAGGGCAATTGATGTAGAGCAAGAACTTTTTGTTTTTTTTCTCTCTACACATTGCTTAATGACATACAAAGTAATAAGAGCGATAAAAAAAAGAGCCTACCGGCATCAGTAAGAATAGTTTCTCTTGAATTTATCATTGATGATGATAGTTGGTAATGCGAATTAATATTGTATAATTGTGAAAAACTTGTGGAACGAAGTGTTACTTGTGTAGAATGATTTCGAATAGGAATTGACTTCAAGTTGCTTGACACATCGTTATTACTGGGCTAGAAGAAAGAAGAATGTTCTTACAATTCTTTAAAGATATTAACAGTGTCTTCTATGAATTCATTCATTCTTTTTCTTTCGTGTGTCCCTGAACAACAGATTTTATATAACTGACATTCTATGGCCTTATGTCCTTCGTCATAAATGCAAACTTTGCTTTTGTTGTATCAAAAACATTCAATTATCTTCAGTATGTGAGCAAAGTTGCATGTGCGAAGAGAATAATATAGACACCATGAATACTACTATTCACTCAATGAGACAATCAAGGGAACATCAACTATAGTTTTTGCCGAAGAAGAAGAAAAAAAGAAGGAAAAGATGTTGATGAAGCTTGCTTCTTTTTTTTTTCTTCTTCTTTTTTTGTGCTCACATATAAATAGAAGAATATCATCGTTATTAATTTTCTCGCTTTCAAAGTGTTCATGCACACTATAAATTCATACAAGTAAAAGCGAACAATCGATTAAAGCACGAATGACTTCATGCTTGTTATTTAATTATTTATCAATGAAAAAAAAAATCACAATTTAAAATCTTTTTATTTCCTTGATATTAACTTACATTTCGATTTTTGCATACAATTTGATAGATTAAAGTTAAAATTTTATTTCTTTTTTTAATTATTTTATGTTGATAAATTTGTTTATTAATTGATATTCGATCATAATGAAAACATGTCCATATAGCCATAAGAACAAGTATAAACCAAATAATTAGAAATAAAATAAAATAATGCCAAGAAAATTTTAATAAAAAATATTTATAGATAAACTTTATAGAATATAATTTTTCTTGTTCTTTAGAATTTAAAGAATGAGTTAGATTAATTGTTAATGTATAAAATTGTTTAGATGATATAATTAAACCATGATCACGCAACATTAAATTTAATGTATATATTCCATCGGGTATTTTTATATTACGTCGAGTTATTAATATTGATGAATTTATAATATAAAAATAAAATATTGATAAACAATTAAGACATTCAATTGTAACAAATCCATTAAGTTCATCATCAAGATCAATAGGTTGAAATTTATATACAATTGTTTCATCATTATTTCTTTGTTCAATTGATAATATCGAAGAATTTGAAAGAAAGGGTTCATATGGTATATGATCATTTTCATCAAGTATTTGAATGATTATACAAGTTGGAAATGTATAAGATTTTAATATTCTATCATACATAAATATATAAAAGGTATAATTTGATTGAAATTCACGATCAAATATAGCTAATGTATGAATATAACCTTGAGAATCAATCGAAAATAGACCAGATAAAGATTCATTTCGATTCGAATCAATAAATAGAAAATCAATCATTGAATTATTAATTCTAAGAAATAAAATTTTAAAACGATAAATGAAAAATACGATATATATGTACTCAGCAATGATTTCTTTTTGTCTTGATCATATTATCAATCGGCTTCGGAGTCGAAACAAAATATCATATGTGAGACGTTCAAAAATTTTCCGAAATACTTTCTATTTAAAAATTTATAACAAGCAATATTGTATTAATGTCTGCGCATAATTAATACAGTCGTCTATCTATAGATATCATAAGTAAAGGCGGCAATAGAATTTTCTTCCAAAACAGAAATGTTTTATGACAGGTATCTTGTCTTGTTCCATCTTGTCAAGAAATTAAGCGGAAATTCCTGTTAGACTTTGATGGAAATATGAAATGACTCGTTGATTCTTTTCTCATATGTGAACTAAAGAGAGTTCAAAAATAGCTGTCACAACAATATCTATTTCTTAACTCTATTGATTTTATATCGTCTTTTATCTTCTGAAAAATATTATTAAAAAAAAAACAATTGCTGTAAGGATCACTGGTTTTATCGACAAAAAATATCAAAGAAGAATGTTGCTAATTTTGAAGCGAAAACAATTGGAAGGTAAAGCTAAAATGTGTGAATCTCTTATCTTTCGTGAAATATTTCGAAAGTTTTTTTTGAATTTATGAAATGTTTGAAAATCTGATGATTTTGTATTAAATCGGTTAGAAAAGAAAAAACAGAAGTTTATAGAAAGGAGTCACCAACGGAGAATAAACTGATTTATATGCTATAAATTATTATAATTTGTTAACGACACAAATAATGACTGGAAGTGATTAAAAACTTTCGGAAATCATTTTGAATCATAGAAAATTTTCAGTAATAAGGTTAAAAGTAAAGAGCTGATTTCTAATGATTTCTATTGATTTCCATGATTTTCTATAGTTTCCAATGTTCCTAGTGGTTGCTCTTGATTTCTAATGGTCTCTGTTGATTTTTCTTCATTTCTAAGCATTTCCGATGATTTCTATTGAGTCATAGTGAATCGATAAAAAAGAGTTTCCAATAATAGAACTCAGTTTGTACTCTCTTGTGAGTCACAGAAAAATAACCAAACTTTAGCTTTAATGAAAGAAAACGTTGATTGTTCATTTCGATCTTGGTTACTTTGGGACATTCGTAACATTGTTTATTATTCGTATACATATTGTTAAGAGATTTAAATGTTTTACAGTGAAGTTGACCGTTCGACAATATGAAATATTATTTAGTATTGTCTTTATTAGGAAAGAAAATAAATCATCAATCATAAAGTAAAATGATTTTAATATTCTTATGATTACTGTAAAGAATCTTCAGTATAGTAGTTGTTTAATGTTTACTAAAAACGTACGTTCTCTCATTAGAAATATCAAATCAGTTAGGTGACTGTCATTCATTGATTTTCAAATATATATAATGATTCATACATCTTCATGTTAGAAATACTTGTCCTACGCGTAACTTGTATTGTTAGCATTGTTTTGAGAGCTATTATTATGTTTATAACCTGGTTTGTTTGATCATAAAACTTTCCAGGATAGACTGAAGTTAACACTGACATCGTTGCTGATCATAGATTCTGTGGCATTAAACATATGTGTGAAGATCTAGCAATAAATTTTATATTACTCGATTTACAATAAGAGAAAATTAGAATATTCCAGCATCGCTCACTAGTGAAATTTCTTGCTTTGTGAGAAGCTGTATGCTTTATCTAATATTTATGACAGTTTCTGGTGAGCAGTACTTCATCAATTAATAAGACTTATGACATGCAATCATCGATTTAAATCATACATTGATGATAATCTTAGATGCAAATAGTAGAAATTATTAGAAATATTAGAAACCAAATAATTGAACACAGGTGAATTGCAGCTTAACAAATAACAAATACTACTTGCATTTCAAATGTAACGTATATGATATTTAACATGATCAATTACATATGATTAAAGTGTGTTTTATATCTGGTATTGTAGTCATTCTATATTTTTTGAAAACACAAAGATTCTTTTGAAAAGACTCACATATCTTATAAAAAGTGCCTTGCGTGCTGATGTAAATATCATCATTGGGGTCTATAGTACCACATGCAGGTAGTAGTGACTTTACATATATGCACTGTTTCGTTTTTTCATTTTCATCAAAATAATGAATAAATTATGATGCAATTTAATACTTTTTTATTGTTTAAAAGCTCTTGCAGATAACTGATCACTTTGTGAAATGCCATCTAAAAGAAGCGTTAAAGTATAGAAATAGATATTTGACGCCCGTCTCTTCTATGAATGCAGTGCAAAAGCCAAACAAAAAGAAAAAAAATTTCAGTGTTTATGATAAAACGATTTTTAACAAAAAGTGTTTTTAATGGAAAGTAAATATTCACTTTGTGATGCCTCTCATACTCTGTCACATGCGATATTATTGAACTTGATTGCATGTCATAATAGTGAAAAAATTAGAGCTCAAGCTAATATAACTTTTGCACTTTATTATATACTCTACTACCTCTACTCCTCCACCAGTCACTATGACCATTCTCTCCTCATGGATCATAGCTGGCATATTCATGCTACTTATCTAATACAATATTAGTATGAAACACAGCTGACTTTAAAATAGCGACTCTTTGCCTTTATTTCATACTAATTGAAATGTATTGTGATTAATATCTTTTTTCATCTACAGGGATTAAAAATAGGTAGTAATTCATAAACTAAACCGTATGTTGACGGATTTCCTTTTTTACAATGACAACATCTGCGTCGTGTTTCATATTTTACTCTCGTCGAGATTGTACTGACAGTTTTTACACTTGAAAATATTCTGTTTTGGTACTTTGACCTGTGTCAAATACTAGAATAGTACTGAGAAGACATAGCTGATACTGTAAATTAAAAAATAAGTTTTTTTTTCATCGTTATTCAGTTTGGTTTTGTTTACAATAATGTGAACATGCATGTATGAAATAGATGGAAAATAAATCGAACAAAATTTGTTTGTTTCTTCAAAAAAAAAATTATTTTTTGTCATTCTTTTTCATAGTTTGAAGGTACTTTTATTTAGTTTATCAGATAGTATGCACAAAAAAAGACACTTTACAATATAAAGTACTGTTGTAGGGTTCATTAAAGCTCTACAAATGGCTCTTTGAGATAATCATTATTCTATATATTTCCTATATAGTTATCTAAAACACTATATAAACGGTGCTTCTGGATCTCTATCTATTCCTATATTTTCAGTGAATGATGCTGCAACACCAAATTAAAAGTCTAAATCGACCGAAGAATAGCTTCGGAATATCGTTTTCGAAAATCTTCATTTGCTGACCACTAAAATTTTCACATACCTCGGTAGTCCTAGGTTTTCTCTATTGAATGGCGAACACTACAGATCTCTATGATGTTTCTATCAAAAAATTTTCAAAAAACAGTAAAACATTATATTTTGAAATGAATAGTAGATACTTTACGGACAAAATATGTTTACTTTTACTACACGCGTATACATTCATTCCTTTTTATTACTGATAATGATATGGTTAGGATAAAACAATAATAATAATTAGTATTCCTTATTTCTTTTGCTTTTATGTTTTTCAATTAGTTATTTTTTTTTGATTGAAGAGAGAATCATATGAAATAAAATGAGTTTTCTCGCTTGTACTCGTAAAGTCATCTGTACACATATATTTCGGAGGGTTTAGAAAGGTTATAAGAAATGGGTTTTTTTCCATACTGGCAGTCCACCCAATCAGACTTTTTCAGGGTTCGAAGTTTCGCCGATCAAATGTAAGATGTAGGTTAGATGCGTGGGTATAAGTGTGACTGATTGAATAGATGAAGCGAAATAGCACACGGTCACGAACACTTGAACCTATTGAATCTAAAATCTGAACTCAAACGAATCCGTGACCAATCCAATGAGCTCTAGCGCATACACACATTCCTCCCGACATGCACGTCAACATCCACGCTCAGACTCACATGCGCACCGATTGTCATGCATAGGTTTGATATTAGTGTCGATTGAACTTGTAAAGTAGTAAATTATATAGAAAACGTGAAACATCCAGTTGAGAGTCAAGCGACTCACAACGACTAACGTTACTTGTTCTTACCGTGATATTTTATTTGATATGTTTGAGTTGAATGTTGCAATGTCTCGATCATCAATAGTTGACAAATCGATCATTTGTTCAATTGATTCTTGTTCATCTTTATCTTCAATTGTTAATCTTCCAACTATTTTACCTATTGATGTATTTTCTTCTATATTGAAATAATAGATATCTTGTGTAAAATAAGGAACATGATCATTTATATTATTAATTTCTACATCAACTATAACTATAGATGAATATCTTCGTATTGGATAACCAAGATCATATGCACGTATGCCTATACGATACCATTGGCATTGTTCTCTATCAAGTTTACGTTTAGTACGTAAAACTCCTGAGTAGTTATCAATTGAAAAAAATTGTTGTTTTTTAACCATAAGTTCATAATGAACAGTTCCATTTCTACCTTTGTCATTATCATATGCATTTAAATGAGTTATAATTGTTTTTCTTGGTAGATTTTCATCAATTTTAATATAAAAATAAGTTCGATCAAATATAGGAACATTATCATTTATATCGAGAAGTATTAAATAAATAAATAATTCCGATTGAAATGAACTGGATGCTGTATTCATTTCTATTGATTGATTATCATTATCATTTGCTACTAAATGTATTATATAATTTTCATGTTCTTCACGATCTAATATTCGAGAATTAAATAGACCATAGACATTTGCACGAAAAATAGTTAAATGAAAAAAATTTGATAGATGACAAAATGGTATATTATCTTAAATTCAAAATGGAAATGATTATTCTAAAACAAAGCATATGCCTCAATATTTTACTTAGAAAAATTTCTTCTCGTGAACATTGAACATATGTTTGTAAATTCAGTGATAAACTTCCATTTGATATTTGATCATTATCATACAAATGAAGTAATGCAAGAAGAGTATTGGCTGGTAAAGATTCTTCTTTAGTTAAACAAATCATTTCAGCATCATTTTCAATAAGATTTATACTTGAACGAAATAAATTTATGAAACGATTTTGTTCTAAAACAAAAGAAATTTTCTTTTATTTTTTTAGATATTATCAAAAGAAGATAAACTGAATCAACAGTTGTATATCACAACAAAAAAACAGATATGAATAATTTCCGAAACAAATCGGTGATAGTTTACTCAAAGTTAATCTTTAATTGAATTATGATAAAACTCGAATATATTAACTTTTTGCAACTCATGACAGTCTACCATGAAAATGTTTCCATTTTTTTTTCTTGCAATTAGTTTTAAGAACGTAACCCTGAGCATTTTATTCATTCATACATACATACAGAAGGTATACAAGTATTAGAAATAGTTCGTTTTATTTTTGCTCATAAAAAATATTTTTCGTATTTTATAAGATTTGATTTCGTTTTATCATGAGATAGCGTTTCCAGGTATCGGTTTTCGCTTTTCACCCAAAACTAGAGATGTATGCAGCCAATTTTAATCTTGGAACCGAAGCCGCAACTAGGAAAACAAAGTTGTCTCGATCGAAACTAAAGATGATAGTTAAACCTTCTATTATTTTAAACGAATTATTTTATAAATCATATCAAGCAGAACATAATTCCAGAGGAATGATCCAAAAAGCTGTTAGTCGTCCACTAAATAAATAAAAAAAAACAAGTATTGAGGAATTCTTTTAGATGTAATGTGATACGAATAAATTCTGAAATAGTTTTCTCTAGATCGGTATCAAAAGACTTGCTCCGGCACGTCTCTAGTCAGGACTTCGTTCACATTTGAGATCTTAGTAAACTATATCTACCGTAAAAAAAGGAGTTCACACTTATAATCTGCTTCTGAGAAGATCGAATGTGGGTTGAATGACCGCACCTTTGCTGCAACAACATATTTTTTTAAATTTTTGATGTGAAACTGTGTCCATAGAAAGAACTCACAAGGAAGTGTTCCCTTGTCAGTAAGATTAGTTTGTATAATAAAATTCAGAATTCTGGGACTATGTCTCTTTGAGAAATGAAGCTTCCAAAAGCTACCTGCTGCATATACTGTCTAGGTTCTGCCCCCCCCCCCCCCCCTCCCCCCATGAGACTTAATTCAAACGTTTTGAACTTTTTAATTTAAACTAATCTTATTGAGGTTTCTATGTGGATAAAGTTTCAGGTCAAAATTTGAAACAAGGATTTTGTTCCGAGTATAAGATTCTACAGAGAAAATTCACCAAAAATGTTCGATCTCCTTAGGAACCGTTCATAGTTCATAGGCACAAGCTCGCTTTTATGATATACATAGCCCACTAAGATTTACAATATGAACTACGTCTCTGTTGTAAAGTGAAAACCAACAACTACAGATGGTTCCTTGTTAATTTTGAATTATCAATAGAAAATACAAAGTTCGATGTTCTACAAACTGCTATTAACTTCACTTTAAAATGATGAACTAAAAATTTTTAAAATGATTCATTACGAGATTTAGTGAATAATACTTAAAATTGATTTGCACATGTTTACTAATGCATTATATTTTTCTAAAGGAATATTTAGTTTTCAGAACATAATCTACTAGTAGACAGCATTTGAACAGCTCCATCGATTATGTATAATATTCTTTTGATTAAACAGTAAACTTTATGTTGAAAGAAATAGTATTTTCTTCATTCGATTCCTCACTTTTAAAATAAATATTCTAAAAGTGATGCCTATAACTATTAGTATGAACGACTTGTTTTGTCATTACAAACTGACACAAGTTCAATTATTTGGCTCATAGATCAGAATCGAAATCTAATCACTATAAAGTGTCTCTAGAAAATTGTAATTGAAATCAACATATTTTAAATCTTGTCATATTCGATACACGAGACGATTTTTGTTTCTATACAATCTTGAAAGCTATCGAATTGAAGTCAAATAATGAATGATAAGAATTATTCATTTCACAAACCTTCATTTAACTGTGGTTCTGATATACTCATAGTTTTCGCATTATTTTCATTTTTATTTTCATCTGGCATAATAAAAATAATTTGTGGTTTTTCATCATTTACATCTTCAACAGTAATCATAATATCTGCAAACGATGATACATATGTCCGCATACCGGTTGCAATATCTTCATAATAACCTTTTGCTTCAACCATAATTTTATATTCTCGTTTTATTTCATAATCAAGTTCATAATCAAATAGAAAGATATCTCCTGTATTTTGATCAATGCGAAACACTATTTGATTATCTAATTGTATAAGATCATTACCATATAATATATAGAATATATAACCATCAAAGAAAACTTGTGCATTATAGACTTGTACACGTCCAATAAATGTTCCTGGTAGAATATTTTCTTGTACAATAAAATGATAATGTTTATTTTCTAATTGTAGTATATGATCATTAACATCGACGATATTGATTGATAAATGAATAATGAGTGAAATATTTTCATAATTCAATTCTTGTTGAACTGTATACATTGATGTATGTTTACGATCTAATAAATGAATAACATGTAAATATAATGTACAATTTTTATTTAATATTAATAAAATTTCGAATGGTAAATTATGATGATGAGAATAAATTGTATTCATTGAAGAAACTAAACAAAATGATAAATCAAATGTATCGATTATTTGTTTATGACCTATTGGTACCTCTTGGAAAATGAATATCCTGAAAATAATCGAATTAAAATTATATATTAAATTTAAATAATATTTACATATATGTTCGATTTAATTTAGTTGAATGAGAGGTAGTTAGTGCTATAAAGACGGTAGGAAACAGAATTAAAGTATAAATTAATTTCCACATAGTTCAACAGACAATTTTAAGAATATTACTATTAACTAAAGGTTATATTCTTTTTTCACTTATCAAATCGATTCACGCACTTGTGTGATACAACAAATAATGAGAGAAAGATATGACACTTGAGCGTATATGATTATTGAGCTTTAAGTCGATAATTTTCTTACATGGGAACTGAATAAAAAAAGACCCAATCATATGTGAAAAGTACTCACTACATAGGATGTGTAGTGGAAGTTATTCACCTTCGCTTTCTTCGCGATAATAACACTTGTGTGTTCATTGTACACATATATTTGTAAAAGATTCACTCATTGCATTGATTTGCTCATCGTATCCTAGATGACAGCATTGTCGAATACCAACAGTTTGGTTGATCCACTTTATTTACTCTCCAGCATTTCTAATATAAACTTATTCAAAATTTCTATTCGTTTTAATAGTATCTTAAAGAAGATATGTAATGACATTTATTCAAACTTGACTACATCAAATAACAGTGACCGGTGATGAAGCTGTAACTGATCGTCAAAAATCCAGAGCAGTTTCATCTCTGTGTTGTGTGTCTCTGTACAATATGAGACAAGTAGATAACTGATTTTTTTAAATTTAATTATCATATCATGTGAGATGTCTACAAGACACTACTTATCATACAATATTACAAATATAGGATGAATAGAATATGAGTTCGAAATTAAATGCGAATGTAAAGTACTTATTCTTAATAACGATGAAAAAAAAACAGAACTGATCTTCTATTTTAAGACACTTATCGCATTGTCATTTGACACTTGATTGAAAATATTTTTTTGAATATAGAATATCCTTGGGGTATCATGCTTGAAAAATTACAACAGTGAGTTCTTTCTAACAATAAAAAGTAACCGAACAATTATGAAACGACAATAAACATTTTATTGCATTATGATTAGAAACTGTTTTTCTAATAATGATGATAAATCACTTAATGATCTGTATTTATAATACAGTAGAATGATCATCTCACACCTTAAGTTTTTCAGCTATGTTTTCTAGATAAAACTCACTTTTATGCTATTTAAAACAAAACATTTTTACTAATTACATGTACTCATGGAAATATTTTCAATTAATCGTATAATAGCTGTGGATGGAGTCATTCAGCATCAATCATCGTTTTTTTTCGATACTTCTGCCTGTACCTAGCCATCAAAAAACGTTTTCTGCCCATAAAGTCACAATAAATGTCATTGGTATGTATATCCACAGATCATCTTTAAAAAAACAAGCTATGAAATAATCAAAATTAATTAAATTGCTAAACATAAACGACCTTGATCGATAAGCGTATCGCTGATTGGTTATAACAGAAGTCTCGTCAATATTCATTAATGATACATATTATATCAATGATTTCAACCTTCTATTGAATGTTGCGTCATCCATTACACTGCTAGACAATCATTTAATGTGATCGGAGCATTCGCTTTTCCAAACATATATATGAAAAGAATGAACACCTATAAGCTCAGGAAAAAAAAGTGCACTGAAAAAAAATGTTCATAATTATTCATTCAATTTCGGTTATTACTAAAAGAACAAGACAAAATTGTACATAAATATGAGCAAAAAGATGAAAGAATTCTTTTTTTCTTTTTTAACAACATTGATTTAAAATAGTACTGTTCGATATTCCATTCGATGAAGCAACAATTTTATTTGGATCAATACTTTCAACAATCATTGATAAACAATCAAGACTTGATATTGTCGATGATCTTGTTTGATTTGCTAATACCACTTCGGGATAATCTAAAAATAGATTTATAGTATATATGAGTATTACTAGATAGATAATAATAACAACGATCGTTTATAGAGTCTAATGATAATGACTGTATATCTGCCTTAATTCGATGAGAAATATGTATATATATATATATCATGTGTTGTTAAAACGTCAAAAAACAAACACATTTGCATTATTAACATGCTATTTAGCATATTTGATAAAGCGAGAAAAAAAATCTTTTTTTTTTTAAATATTTAAATTCTTATATTTACTTACTATCAATTGTTTCATAGACAGGTGGTGTTGTTGGATTACTATTATAATCTGTAGTTGCATTATCATATTTTTCACTGTAATTTATTGTTGAAGATCTTGGTTTTAATAACTAGATACATATACACATATAATGAGTCAAAATAAAAAAGAAACTTTACCTCATTAATATTTGGTTTTTGATTATCTAAATCATGTCTTAATGATCTTGAATTAATTCCTGATGAACGAAGTAAATCTTCTAAATTTTCAATATATTCAATAGCATTTCGTAAGATTTCAACTTTAGGTAAACGTTGACTTGGATTAGGACATGTACGTCGTTTTAATGTATCAAATGCTTCATTAACTTTTCTTAGACGTCGACGCTCACGCATTGTTGCTGCTTTTCGTCGATCAACAGTTACTGTTTTACGTTTACATGCTTTACATGCCCATAATAAACAACGACGTGTACCATCACATGAACCATTATTAATAGATGATCCTATATGAATATCATTTTTATTTGGTGTTATAGTTATATTTGATTCATCATCATCACATGAATGAGTTGATGGTGAACGTGATTCTGTTGTTGAACTTGACGAAAGTGTTGTTTGTAATGGTAATGATGAATAGAAATAATTAACAGATTTATCAGGACTATGTTCAGATGTTGGTGAAAACGATGTATAAGATGAATTAACTGGTTGAAGTGTTGAATAATGTGGTATAAATGAAGTAGAAGAAGAAGAATCAAAATCATATGATTGTTGTTGTTGTTGTTGTTGTTGTTGATGATGATAAAATTGTGATGTATATGAAGATGTAAATTGAGAATATTGTCCATCTAATTCATTTGTTGTATTATAAGCAATATTGGGATGAAAATAAGCACCATAAGATGAAACAGAAATTGGTGTTGATGATGGTATCAATGAATTATCAGTATATTGCTGTTGACAACTTCGAAAATCTGTCATCATTGTGAGTTTGATTTTTAAAGATTGAAGAGAATGGTAATAAATATGTATTATATACAAAATAAAAAACTATTACTGGATTTCATAATGATGCGATGCATTTACTTCTTCTTCTTTTTTCTCTTCTTACTATCGTTTTCTTTTATCTGGTTGGTTGATTGAAATTGTGCTTGATGAGAGGATCGAATAGCAATTAACAATCGTTTTTCTTCTTCTTTTCTCTATTTCTATATTACTGATGATGTACAACGAGACTGATAAGAGAAAAAGAGAAAAGAGAAAAACGAGTATAGATGATAAAATATATAGATTGAGAACGAATCATCAAGACAAAATGTGTAACGGTATCTTCTCATTTTCTTTACAAACAATTCTCGATAAAAACAAAGGTTTACAAGAAAAAAAACGTAATTGTGGTCTTCATTTTTTTTCTTAATATGTACTATTAAAATATTTCAAACGATGATCTGACACGTTTTAATGTCAGCCATAAGAATAAAAAGAAAAACTGATCAATCATAATATCAGATATCGACAAGAAAAAAACAGGTGTGAATTTATCAACAAGATTACCATTCGTTATTATTGTCTGTAAAACGATTATATCATTTCATGTTATAATCTAACTGAATGATGATCATTCTAATGAGAAAAAAAAAATTATTTTCATATCAGTAAACATAACCATGCTTTCGAATACAAACATTTCCAGAAGAAAATAGCCAATGGTAATTAATGTAACGCCCATAATAGGATATATCAATGATATTGGACTTCGCTAATTGATATGTTGGAGATAAATTCCACTGAGAATGATATGCATCTATATATAAATACGATCAAAACGGATGAGTAAAAAGAACAAAGCAAATTAGCCTATAACTTTGGTTTCGGTGACTGTGGGTGGTGGTAAAGAAGAAAAAATCTTCTTATTCTAAAATGTTAAATAAACACGAATATGTAAATATGTCCTTGCAGTAAATAAAATCGCATATGAGAATTGGGATTTGCAAGATTATGAAAAACATCAGTTGTCAATAGAAAATGACACTATATGACATAGAACTTAGTAACTAAATACGTATGTTATACAAATACAAACTGAAGGTTTAACAATACTTTTTGTTTTTTTCTTATTCTGAAAAAAGTGAACGGCTAGCTCATTAGTTCTGCTAATCAATCGATCAGGATGTAAAGAGAAAGACGAGAAGAATACCGACAAATGGTATTTAATGTCTCGCTCTCTCTAGAGAGAGAGAAAACACTTGATGAAGTATAAAACAAAAGAATTGAATATCTTCAGATTGAAAATATGCATTCTTTCTAAAAAGATATGATGCGAGATGGTTCGAATGTCAGTTAACCGAAGAAAAAATTGAATATCTTCGCCACAGTTTGACCCAATAGGATGATTTTTTTTTATCAATGATAAAAAGGTGTTCAGGGTTCATATCCTCGAAAAGAGTATTGAAAACAGTCTTTCCAGATTACTTTCGACGGGGAATCTTACCAGTTGACTCATAGATTCTGAGCCATTATGTCGTCAAATAATAACGGACCATTTATTCATAATAACCTTCGAAGGATGTTCTCTTTTGTGCAACTTTAGCCGAGATATTGAATTTTTAGTGAGTTTTTGCATCTACGACCTCAGTTTTTCAATAAAATCACAATTTCAAGTTTTGGGTATGAAACTTTGCTACAATCAAAGTCTCAACGAGATTAACTTTTGCATGCGATATCTCCGAGAGGTCAATTTTTCAAGATGGTAAGTGCAGCATCTGAGAGCTAAATTTTGCTACATGATAGTAAGAAATTGTTGAAGATGCTGTGCTGCTGATACATATTTGAAATTAGACTAGAAATTCAAGTGATAGCTATGAGTGATAGTCATACTATTTCAATTCGATCTTTTCGATCAAGACAAGACTATTTTTCGAAAATAAAGCTTTTTTTTTTTTTTTTTTATAAAACTTGACTGAAGGTTTCTGAAATTGATAAATTCGAATATTTTTTCGGCTTTTCCAGTAACTGAAAGCTTATTTCAAACTAATAGCTAAGTATTATGAAATGTGAGTAAATCTCAGAATATATGATTCAAATGACCGAAAAAAATCGAACTCAAGAATTTCGCAAAAACTGTTTAGGCATTCGATTTGTCGATCCCGGAAATTTTTAATCGAATTTTATAAGAAATCGTTATTTTTGAAAAATAGGTTTGTCTGGATTGAAAAAATTCCATCTAAATAGTATGTTTCTCGCTCATAGCCGTCATCGTAAGTCTCCGTCTAACATAAAAAACGCATCAATGTCGAAAGATGTTGTGGATTGAAAAGCTGAATCTTTTCCCTTGCAATTTTTCAAAAGCTCTATGTTTTACATAATATCAATGGAGAAGTGCCTAGATTTTGAAAGATTCATATTCCGAAGATAGTACAAGCAAAAGTCTGTATCTTGTGCAAAAGTTAGTCTCGTTGAGAATTTAATTGCAGTAAAGTTTCAAGCCAAAAATTTGAAATTTAGATTTTATTGAAAGACTAAGGTTCTCAAGGGGTAAATTTACTGAAAATTCGACATCTCGGTCAAAACTCTACAATAGAGGGAATCGTTTGTAGGTGATTATGAACAGATGGTTTTTGCTACCTTGTGGTGAAATAAGGACTTAGAAGTTGTGGAACCGTTGGATAAATTCTCCATCGAAAGTAATCGAGAAATGTTCAAATTATAGTGGAGATAACCAATTTTTTTCGTCGGTTAGCTGACTTTTTGGTCAGCCTATATATAATTATTAATGTAACTAATTAGTTTTCATTTAAATTTTTACCAGTATTTTGCTCAGTCAGAAATGTTTTGAAATAATGGAAATTTTATGTAAATGAAAGCATATTTCTCTATCAATGCGAGAAATTCAATAGAACAAATAATGCATTGATAATTTTCAAAACAAAGTATATCGCGATCTACAATACATGAAATAAAATGAAAGATCGAATTTCTATTTATACTTTAATCTTTGGAGAAAATATTTCGATTATATCTCAGTTTCTAGCAATCGACTTAATACATACTGAAAAAGAGCTTCTATATATTTCTATCATATTCTGATCAAATGCAGAAAGTTTTAAGTTTTTATTCATACGTCAATAGCTTATTAACGCACTTGAAATCTAGCAGCATTGGCTTCAATATAAAATAAACCTTTTTGGACTTTTTCCACTACTCGTTTGAAAAAAAAAGAATCCTCTCTATTACTATGAACACACGACGATGCTAGCGTCAAAATCTTGGAAAACGTCAGGTTACTCCAGAGTCTTACGCAGCGAGATGATTCCCAGTATTTTGACTCTACTACTGTTATTTGTGAGTGTAAATAGATCATTCTTTTCTACTAAAATGTTCAGTGAGAAAAGCCCTACAAAATGGAGTGTGTTAATAAGTTTTCAGATACCTTTATTTTTTCTCGGTAGTTTTCCATGTAAGTATCTTAATGCTAAAAAGTTAACCGTAGTTGATCGAGCTTCTTGGAAATTTTTGTATATAAAAACATTCAAAAAGATTCCGTGAAGTCAGATATGCTAGTGAAAAAAGATGTCAAGATTGAAAAAATAAATAATTTAAAAATTGAGAAACTTAAATCATATTATAAAAGCTCAAAATCTATCACTTACTTTGATATATCATGTAAAATTTTGTCATTTAAGTAAGTCATAATAATTTTAATTGATATTATTAAATATTTTAGTGATTGTTATGATGTACATCTTCTTCGGATGCAGTCGTAAGGATTTTTCCCTCTTTATCTATAGGATTATGCATATTCACTCATGTTCCTCTTCTTTTCTCTTGTTATTAGTCATGCTTCATCGAATTTTTCTTTTCTATCATGTATGTTGGACTTTTCGTATCCTTTTGACCTTCTTTTTTTTTATATTGTTTTCTTTGTTCATCGTTTATGGGATTTTCCAGTTCTTCTTATCACCCTATATATAATGTTACATTGTTGCGTGGAATTTTAGGAAAAAGATATTGTTATAAAATTAAAGTATAAGTGGAATTTAGATCTCACAACCATGAATAAAAACTTGAAATTCTCCTCTATTATTTAAAGAACATTTCAGATCATTTTATAAAAATACATTGAAGACATGTAATTTTGTTTTTTTGATTAATGATTTGTAGGACACGCAGGATATGCAATAAGCAAACATCATTTATTGCCTTGAAATAGAATACATAGAAAAAAAATTTAAATCTTACAACTAAAAATATTATCATAACTTCCGTATCAATATTTTTTTTACTGAAATATATTTTTCAAAATTATCACAGAAAACAAAAGTATTGAGATGCGATAAATTCAAACGTAATTTATAGAGCAATCAACAAAAATTAGTGCTAAAATACTCATGTGATTTCATAATGATTATTCAGTTAAGGGTCTACGTTCATCTTCATTTTCTTGAGGTCGTTGAAAATCATTATCATCAACCAGATAAATAACAATAATAGCAAATGATAAAAACATAATACCAGATACACTTAACATATTTCGTTGAGATTTTAATGTATTGTCATTATATAGATTGTAACTAATATACAAAAAAGACAATAATAAATCAATAAATTCAATTAATTACTTACAATATACTATATTCTACAATACCCATCATGCAAGCAATAATAGCAAAGATAAATATTATTTTACCCCAAAATTTATGACTAAAAAAAAAGTATTTCAGTTAAAAGAAAAAAAAGTAAATTTTCATGTTTACCTTGGCATATATGCTTGACGAATACTTTCATTTAATCTTGGAAAAAGATAAGTTATAAATCCACATACCCATTGTAAACCAAATAAAATCACGACTATAAGACCAATCCATGAATGAAGTGTATCTAGATTGTTTCGTGGTGGAACAGTTCGATTATGACTATCGAAAACGCCTTTAAGACCAATGGATGATAAAATAAGTGAAAGTGCTAATAAAGATCCATGAATAATTTTAACAAAAATTTTTGTTGTATTACGAAATACACGATAAACCAATATAGCTTTTAAATATATAAAATATTCATTCGAAAAGATATTCTAATTAAATTGACTTACCATCACCATAGAAAAATATCATACCAAGTGCCATAAATAATGGATGATTGTTAAATACTTTTGTAAGATCCGACTAAAAAAAAACAACAACATACATTTATTTTTTGTTTGCTCGTTTTTCTTGTACGTCATTTAATAAAGTTCGAATATATTGCTTTGAAAAAGAAATAAAAACCAAACTTACACCCCATCCAAATCCGCCACGATATTTTCCAAAAAAAACGCCAAGTGCAATAAGTGCTATGATGCCGATACCTTGTGAAATTACTACCATGAAATAATACCATCGTGTAGAACTTGGTGAAATACCAATATCATTATGACCTCCTTTACCCATTGTTAAAAACTAAATTTTAAATCTTTAGATCAACAAAAAAAATGCTGTTTAGTTTTATAGGTGAAGCAATAGGCAATGATTATTAAGAAACAAAGTTTTTAGAATTACTTCTTTTCAACCATGCATGAATAAAATGTGGTGATAACAACTTTTTTTTTTACGCTACTTACTCGGGAGAAAATAATTCAAGCGGAAACATTAAAAGAAAAAAAATACATGCGACACAATGATGTACGTTGCGAAAAAAAAGGAAAAGAACGGAAAAAATACATTTCTGCTGTAACTATGAATAAATAATCTATCATATCTTAATAATTAATTCGAAGAGTTTTTCTTTTTAAACTTTAATATAAATCATATCTCGTAAAATACTAGAAAACCAAATCTATTATTATTCAACAAATTTTATTTATTAATAAACTGATTTATTTTAATCATATTTATAAATCAATTCTAAAAACATCAAACTTCATATAGGAGTGCAATCTTTCATATCTGTACAAAACGTTCTTTATTCATGGCAGAGTTGTAATCGATAACTGTAAAGGTTTTTCTCATGTTGTTGTTCTTTTTGCAAATTAAACACTTTTTTTTACTAACATCAAACATCAATTCTGTGATATACCAGACTTTCTTTTTTGTCGAATTTATATAGTGATTTCAACTCTTTGGGGACGGCGGCACATACCTTGCACCATCTCTTCTTGAAAAATGAAAATGTTTGCTCTCCGTTAAACTATTATGACCCGCAAGGTAATGGGTTGTCCCATCTACCATTGTATGCATACCGTTTTTTTTCTTTCTTTTTGTTATATGAGTCCTTGTCAAATGTTCTCCTTTCTTTCTACTAATATACACAGACGTCATGATTTCTCCTTCTCCTCTCTTGATGTATAGTCATAAGTTTTTGATGTAATCATTTTGAGCGAAAGACCATAAATTGCTTGAAGAACCAGTTTTTCAATTAAAAAAATCATCCTCAAAAGGTTAATAGTCGACGAAGTTTTCCATAACGAGATTTCTAAAAAAAACGGGACACAGTTATTTTCAGGTCTCCAAAAGTTGCTTTTTTTACAATGTTATTATAAATAGCACAAGACTTTGAAGAAAATGAGAAGTTACCACACTTTCTATGACCTTTCCTTAAAAAGTTAAAATTATCACAAAATTCGAAGAAAGTTTTTTTGTCAAAAATTTCGTTTTTTTACGGTTTTTATGTTAATTTTGATCTTTTAGGGGAAAGTGGTAGAAAATGTGACAACTCCTCATTGTGTTCAGAGCTTTGTACTCTTCGAGGTGACATTGTTGGGAAAAGTAGTCTTCTTTTCATGGCTTCTGATATTGAGATTTGCACATAGTACGTTGTGGACACGTGTCAAACAACATAGTCACTCAGCCATGGTGTCTATACAGAAGGAGATACGAAGTTCTCTTTATCATAGTCGATATTACACTCTAATTACTTGTGAAACAAAGATACGCTAAATAATAACTTTTTCGAACAATTGATACTCAAATTTTCAAAAAACAAATATTCTGTCAGAAACAGCAGTAGTAGACGAGCTTCACTGATGATCTTTGTGTGTAGCCATAGTAAGTATAATTGTTTATATAATCTGCAAAAGTTAGCTTAGAAGGTTACATCTTAATCAAGATACTGTTTTTTTTTGACAATAGCAAAAGTCAAGTTAAAGAAATTTAAATAGCATTTTTCACCAATTTTGATAATATCCAAAGAGATTTTATGACTATCGAATAAATACCAGTCAGTAAAATATTTCCTTTTAAAGTAGAGATCACGCTCTGTCTAACAAAAAAGAATAAGATTCTTATCATTTTCTTTTTGAATAAAATTGAATTCAAAATTTCTTCAAAAATTTCTGCAAAATTCATTAGTTCGCACATACATGAGAGATAACAAAGTAAATATAATGTGAAAAACAAATACAATATACAAGTAATGAATAACGTCCATATCTTCGAAACTGTTAATAAATTGCAGATAACTGATATAGGCATTGTAGTCTTACGAAGTTTTCTGTCGAACAATGTATACCAAGTGACAAAGAAACTGACAGAGATAAATAGCAATAAGCACTAAGAAAGGATTGTTATATCTTTGCTCTAGTGATTAAACTGAGACTTCACTTTTGAAGTCCCCTGAAGTCTTTTAAAGTCTCACGAAGTTTGTTGAAGTCTCATGAAGTCTTCTGAAATTTTTGACGTACATTTAGTGCACAGAATATTCATAATAAAACCAATGAAATAGTAAGGCTTTTGACGATCTTGTTTTAGCAGAAATGTAAATTTTTTCATTTTGTCAATCTGCTGAAAGAGTCCATGTTCGTTTGAACTTAAAATAAATCATAGTTAATTATTCAAGTTTTTTAATGAAGTTGTTTATTTTCATAAGTGTTCCATCAATTCGATATCAATGTAATGAAGAATTTTAATCTTTTTTGTTAGTTTCTATCCAAGGGGAAAACAACTGAGATATCGGTTTTGAAGTCTTTTCAAAATTTGAAGTTTCTGTTGTTGAAGTCTTGAATTTCTCTGTTTCCTCCTCGATTATGACTAATCAAGAGGTTGATTTGACGAGTATAAGATCAGAAAAATGAGAAATAACTCATGCCGATGTACCGGCTGATCCAAGGGTAGATCCGTCGGGTCCGAAATTTTCAGACTTTGACTCGGATCCGACCGTGTCCAGGAGCAAAACGACAGGCTCTATCCGAAAGAGAAACACAGAGATTTCATTATTGAAGTCTCTCGAAGTCTGCTGCTGTCCTGCTGGACTGACGCGAGACTAGTAAGAAAAGAACTAACCGATTCCAATTCTGACCCGCAACCGTCCCACAAGTTGCAATACTCTCCTTCTCTATGGTCCTTGAAGGCTTGAAATCTGCAGCTATTTATTAAAACTATTGTTTGATTAATGTTTATTTTCTACTAGATTTTATTTATGAATACTTAAAAAAAACGGGTTCGTCAATGTGAAAAAGAAAAACAGTGAAAGAGAAGAAGAACGTCTTTTCAACTCACAACAATAACAAACAAAATCAGTTACTACTTTACACGATTGATGGTTGAATTCGTGCGTGCACAAAAAAAAAATACTAACTAGATATTAATCAGTTAAACTACTAAAACAAACGCTACAGCAAAAAAAAAATTCACTAATATCTTTTGTTACTATTTGTTGGCAAGTATTACAGAGAAAAAAACAACAAAAACATTTTCTTCATAAATAACTATCAGACCAACCATTTGTATAAAGAGATGTAGGACTACCTATATGACTAAGAAGTCCAGGCATTGATGATGTCACATTATCATCAAATCCAAATGTTTGCATACGAAGCATTTTCTCGTATGGTGTAAGTACATGTCGATTATTATCATCACCAGTTGCTTGACAATATTTTATCGTATGAGCTTCAAAAAGAAAAATAGTTTATATTATGAATTGATAAAAACAAAACAAAAACAAAGACTCACCTTGTGAACCTGTTGCTCCACAAATTGGACATTGATAAGCACGTAATATTGGACATGTTACATTGCCAATTGAATCTTTTAATGAATGACTTGAATATATAAGTTCATTTTCACCATTATTTCGACAAAATACACAAACCTAAAAATAATTATTTTTGTTTAATGATTTTTTTTTTGAAAAGAAAATCGTCTTGTTTATACCTCTTTTTTCATTCCACATTGTCGTTTCCAATTAGCTTCTCGAATAAGATGTTTTATTACTTCGATATCGATTTTTTCTGAACGTAATGGACGATTATTATTCATTGTATTTGCAGCAAGAATTTGTTGTGCTGTTGTACTTAATAATATATTTGTATTTTGTTGATTTTGACGTACTATTGTTGACATTTCAGATAAAATCCATGGATCATGAGATTGATATTGTTGCTGTTGATGTGGAAAAGATGATGAATGATTAAATGAACCATTTGAATTTGGGAAAAGTGAATTGATTCGTTGAGGAAATAAAGAATTGTTTAAACAAGGTGGAGGTTTCATATTAATTGGAGGTACAAATGAATTCTTATTAATAGAGATTTGAGATGGTATCGAATGTGTATCATCAATAGCTGACCAGGAATTCGATGATGTTGTACAAACTGTTCGAACATTTGATGATAATCCATCGACATGATCCATATAAGAATACAAACGACTTGTTTCTAAAAATAAAAGATTTATTTATCTTAAATTTTTGAAATACGATTCAAAAATGAATTTTGAAATATAACAGAAAAAATTTGGATCTCTTCACAGACGTTAGTATACAATCAAAGATCGTATATCAATAATGTCTTGTTATAGGTCGTCATGGGTGAGTGGTTACATTCTTCAACATGTATCCACAAAGTACTGTTTGTAAACATCAGCACCACTAGTAGAATCCATTAGATTGGTTTCGAACTCGTACTCGATCTGATCCAGATCAACAAATTTTTGATTTGACGAACTCTAACCACTAACCATAAAATGACTCTAAACAAACCACTAATGATCACTTGTTTCGGATCTTCCGTCCGATAGCATATTGACTATGTTATGATTAGTTATTGTGCATGGGAAACTCAAGAAATTAAATTGAATTTTTCGCTAACCAGCATTCTAATTGCAAGGTAGCTGAAAGACAAGAGTATCCTGTCTACCTTGCTATGACATATGAACTGCTTCCTTATTGCATTTGTGGAGGACTAAGTAAAAGCACAGTAAAGACATGCGTTCCAAAATAAATGAAATAACTAGTGATGGGAAAGTTTTTCAACAAGATATTTGTTCACTTTTAACGTATTTGCGATAACTCGAAAGCTATAAAATAGGATCAGAATTTCATCCTCTTTTCGAATATAGACTTCGAAATTTTGTTGCAAATTGCGGTTCGAAATGAAAAGTCGAAATCTTTATTTCTATATCAGTTTGCAGATCAGATCTACCTAACAAAATGCACTATTTTTTGTTTTTTGACAATGTATCTCAATTTTCATTTTTCTTCACCCGTTAATAAAACCTCTTTGTGATTAGTAACAGCAACTACCTGATGTTACATATTTTAATCCCATGAGAATAGCGTTAATAGCTTTTTTTTTATAATGAAAATTTTTATAGCATACCATTGTTGACTTCAGTATGTTGAACGGATATTGATTGATGTGTATTTGTTGTTGTACCAAGTGCTATGAAAATAAAATAAAATGAATTTGAATTCATTACAAAATGTTTACTTTTCGATGACTTATATATTGAATCTGATAGATGACGATGTTCAATAAGATAACGATCCATATTTGTTGGTGTTAATAAATTTGTTGTTGTTTTAGGTGTATTCATTTTAGTACATGAAAATAATGGACTAATTGATGTCGTATTCAATGACCAATTTGGTGTATTTATATCCGTAAATTTCGTTGGTGTTATTGGAAGATTAGTATTAATTGTCATATTTTGAAAAGCCGTTGTTGTATTATTTATAGGATCGAGTAAACGTCGTGGCATAAGAGGTGTTGGTGGTGGTGTTGTTTCAATAGACATTAATTTTAATGGTAATGGCTTGAGCCAATCTTCTATTAATTAAAAATAAAAAAGTTTTTTTTAAATACTTTTGACAAATAATTATTCGACTTACTTGAATTAGTATCAGCAATTTCGTTAACAGGTGACGAAGAAAGAATTAAATTATTAGTTAATTCAACTTCATTGTTTTCGTCTTGATGATAGAACAAATCATCTTCTTGTTCTTCATCTTGATCAATAACACTTGATGGTGGTGAATAAAAATCTGTTATACCAAATTCTTCATTTATTGAATAGCCACGACCAAGAACTGTTTCCATATTGATTTCAATAGATGTATATAATAGTATGAAGTAAAGAAGAAAAAAAAATATTGCGATTACAAATGCACTCACACGCACACACTATTTCTTTCTAAAATATACAATGAATTAAAACATGTTTTATTGTAAAGAAATTCCAATAAGAAAAATCTCTTTTTCTCTCTCCCGATCGTTCTTCTTCTTTTTGTTATATAATAAAAGTGATATTTCTCTTATATATTGATACTTTTCTGTCTGTTTTCTATGAAATGAAAATTTCGAAAGGATATAGAACAAAAATATAGAATATATTTCGAAAGAGAAATGATTTTCTTTTATATACAACCAATAAAATATTTTTACCCTGGATAGGAAAGGTTAAACTGGCTGCATGAAAATAAAAACAACTACATATATATATATAGAAAGCATGAAAAATGAACTAAAATTTCAAATGAATTTCGTCTGTTTTTTTCTGTCTAAATGAATTATTAAGTAATGTTCTAATATTATGACATAATGTTACAAAACAAGACTTGAATTAAATTTTTTGCCATTAATAAATAAAGTATGAAATTCAAAAAACAAAAAAAACAAAAGACTCCGATCCCAAACAGTGTGTAGTGCCTGTGAAAAACTTTTCATCTCGATCGAATATAGCATCTCGCAGAAATGAACGAGTGGCTTTTCGTCATTCGGATCCCAGTATTTCGTAGAAGATAGCATTCATGACAAATTTAGTTCTAATCATCAAGATCTACCTGTCTTGAAAATTTCAAATTGTTCTGATGAGCCGTTCGCCAGCAATCCCGGAAAAGAGGAATTACGTCAGAGGTTTTGAAGCAATTCTAAAATGCATCGTTCCCGCATTCAACAAAAGCAATCTCTTTAAAAATTTGGTTGCTCAGTGTAGCTACTTAATACTAAATAACTACAAAGCTTGATTTCTATAGCTTTTATTATGAATGAGAATCTATAACAACACTAGTAAATACTATTTTCTTCATCATCCTTATTATTATTTTTAAAACAATACAGTTTTTCGAAATAATAAGAAGAAGTTATTAACTGTTTTATGATGATTAATTTGATTAACGTTTGTTGACATAAACTAGTAGCACTAAATTTATTCCATTCTTGTTTAATATTACCGTATTCTCGCTCTTATAATTTTTCTTTTAATGTACTACAAATACTTTTTATAGGCTAAACATCTATTAGTTTTGTGGCGCAACTGATTGGTTCTATTCGGTTGAAAACAATATATTTGACTGCATCCGAAGCCATTCACATCCTTTATTCATCATCTTGAAGAATAGCATGTCGTAAGATAACTAATTCTTTAACTACTTCTTCTACTACAATAGTTCGAATGAATCTTGTAGTCAGCAGTAAAATACATTTTATTACGACGATCACTATCTAGTCACTAGTAGAGCTTTAACCACTCATCAATAAAAACTGGGTTATTTTGGAAAAGTTTCAATTTAAGTCTATGGAAAATAGATAAAGTAGTCCATGATAGTATTATTACAGATTTTCAGCCATAGTAAATGCTATAGACCTCAAGCATTGTAGTTGTTTAGTATTAGGTATGCACACTAAGCTGATTAATTTTCAAATTGTTTAAATTTTTCTGAATGCGAGAGGGATGTACTTTAAATTTGCTTTACAACTTCTTCTTATGCGCATCAGGTTCAAAAAGACGACAAAAATTAATGCTATTACGTCTTCATTTTCCATAAGCCTATGAAGCGGCGGTATACATGGTCGAGAAAACGACCTATAAAATGGAATGGTTGATTACGGTAAAACTTAATGCATCGATCCAGTGTGTCATAGAGGCTTCGTGTCATTTCAGACATCCGAAATGATCGTCATGAACAGTATTTTACCTAGATTTTCTCTTCTGAAGGAGCGATTTAAAACATGAACAGGGCGAACACCTATTTTTAGAGGCGAAGACACATAGTATGTAGTACAATAACAACAAAATTTGAGAGAGTCAAACCGATTTTCGAAAGTGCGCCATCTGCTCAGTTCCCATGCTGGATAAAACACTGTCCCTTATGTATAATACTCCCTTTCACTCTTATTCTTTAGGATTTATGTCAACTTAATGATATATTTGAACTTCTTGTTCAAGCCAGATTTATCTAAAAAGTATCAGAGGTATGAAGATCTTATTGCTGTTTACTAATCTCGAGCTTCTTCAAACAATAATTCTCATTATTTTTCAAGTTAACTTTTAGATAAAAAGTACTGCCTTCTATTTATAATCCAAACTATATTAGGTAATATTTATACTATCTCAAACAGAAAAAAGAATTTAGTATCTCCGTCGGATACAAAGAGAAATGTTATCGTTGTATATTGCGACTGAAATAATAGCAACGCAAAATATTAAAGATTTCTATTGTAAAATAGAAAAAAAAAAAGAAAATCATCGATAAAATTTTGATTGTTTTCTTGCGACATCTGCTTAACTATTTCTTTTGTTTCTAATCTATCCATTCCGTTAAATCTGTCAAGAAAAAAAGCAAGCTAATTTTTATTCTCATTTTTTTAAATTTCATTTCAGTAATTAAATATGGATACACTTAATTTTCGTCTTGCTGAAGAAAAAAATTTTCATAGTGAAGTCCTTTTATTTTCATTTAATCCTGAACATGATATTATTGTTGTGTGTTCTGCAAATGGCGATGTATAATTTTCATTTCAATTAACTAATAATTAATTTTTTGTTAATCTAGGTTATTGCTTATCAAGCTTATATTCGTAAAGTTTGGGCATTAGGTACAAGAAATCAACGTAAAAAAGCTGTTAGTCTAGCATGGCGACCTGATGGACAAAGTATTTGAAATTTTGTTTTTTCTTTTATTACATAAAAATAACTTAATGATTCATATTTTAGTATTAGCTGTAACTTTTTCAAATCGTACATTTGTATTAGCATCAGTTCAAGATGGTCATGTATTATTATCAGAAACTTTACCATTTGAAATTCGTTCAACAAATTGGATTGAACGTACAATAGGACAACCAGATGAAAATACTCATGTACAATTTGAATCAATACCTATTGATGATTATTTACCTGTTCTTGTCGATTTACCATCGATTAATCGAACAAGAAAACATATTGTTGATCCACCAGATGATCTTTTTACACTTGATAAACAAACAAAATTAAATATGTAAGATAGCTATTAAAATGTTTTGTTAAAATCATATTTTCTTTTAGTTTAATTCTATTCGGTTCAAATGATATTCTACTTCGTGCATTTGGTCTTTGGCCAATACTTCTCATAAATCGTTCATCATTACCTACTGATCAAACTCTTCTATCTGTAACAATGTCACCCTCTCTCGATACTCTTTGTCTTTTAACACGTTGCGATACATCAGTTAATTATTCATTATTTGAATGTACATCATTTTTATCTGATTATCATAATGATTATTTTCATTTAACACGTTCACTTTGTCGTATAAAAAGTTTAATTTTATTTAATGATAAAATTTTAACAACATTAACTGAATTAACAACAAAATGTTTTTCTGATTTTCAAGCACGTGTTAGTACATTTTGTGAAACAACACGACAACAAGAAATAAAACAATGGACATTTCAATGTGAATTAATGTCGTTATTAGCAACAGGCAATAGTTCAGAACATATGCAACAACAATTTTTTGGAAACATTTTTGATTATGGTTATGCTAAAAAATTAGTAACAACTTTTGATGAAACAAGAATTAAATCAAAAGAATTAATTGTTATGTTTGGAAGGTAAAGAAAGAAATTATTGAATAAGAAAATATTTTATGAGCTCATGTTTTTTTTTTGTTTCTTCAAAGAACAATTGAACATATATTTGGATATCTTGTAGAAATTAAAGGTTTACAACAATGGTATGGAAAATTTGATCAAATTGAATTTGATCCCCATATTCTTGAAAGTAAGTATAAAAGTTTACTTTCTATACGCAAAACTTTTCAAGCTTCCAATTATGATAGAAACCAGAGGTGTTGATGGTTGTTTTTTTACGTTACCCACCTCATGTGTTGAATGATTTTTTTTCTTGATCCGCAGGCTACTTTACAGGCTGAAGAGTCATGAACCTGTCGCGAACCACTTGCGGGATTGGATCTACGAAATTTGGTCGATACGATGAATAGTCAAGAAATTTATAGTAAAAGAACAAAAGCTTTCAGCCGTATGAGTGTGATTGTTGGTGTGGATCTTCTTGGAGGCATCGCACCGACACACACATCCATTATATTATCTAAATAAATAGTAGAAAAATTTCGGAAGAATTAGTGCAAAATAAACCAGGATTACTATCATCTGAAATAGGCTGAATTTGTTCTCTAAAAGTTCTAGTCTGTGTAGCAAAGATTAGTAGAGCGGAATAGAAGAAGTCATTTATGAAATGAAATCAATACACGATGTACAAAGAAGACAGATGTTCTTTATAAATGGTTAATAGATATTCGAATGTCTCACTTAAAAGTGAAACTCATTTGAAAATCTTCTTAAAATTCTTTTAGCATGTTTATACAATGCTGGTAGTCTTCTTTTAAAGATCAATGAATATACCGAGTACGTAACTCATTCGAGTAAAGTATAAATTGATTTAAATTTTTTTTAGTTTTATTCATGAAATGTCAGATGTTTATACATTTTTCTTACGTTGGCTGGGTTTTGGTATGTTTCTTATATGTCTTCTTGTCTTAGTTTTTTTTCTAAAAATTTATTTAATATTAGTTGCTCATCAATTACATACATCTAAACATAATACAAGTACACATCATGATGAACAAATTGAAGTAAATAGATTTTTCGAAAATTACAATTTTGATTGAAATTTTTAAAAATTCTAGTGTACAGAAGCTGATTGGGATCATTTAATGGAATTTATTGATTCGTATTGTTCATTTGATGAACCTGTACTCGACATATTTTCAATGGTAAGTTTTTTTTTTACCTCTTCTATTCCATTAATCTATTTGTGAAATATGAACTCTAAAATGAGCTCAGCAGAATAGAGCAGAATTTCTTTTAATACTTTATTAATTTGTCATTATTAATGAATTACTAAAATTTCTTTTTCTCTATCATTCAATGCAAAATTGAATGGTTTATATTATGGTGAAAAGCACTTTTTGCATATTATTAGTTCTAAGTAATCAATATTAATTAATAAATATAGAAAAATTTTGTTTTAATTATTAACTTGTAATTATGATGTTCATACGTACACATCAGAGCTCCTCGCGAAGTGGAATAGAACTATCTTCGAAAATTTTGTCCCATGTGGAGTACAGCTGTCCTCAAAAGTTTCCCATCCATCTCATAAGACTTTATCTCCGTCAAATATCAAAAAAAAACTTCAGAATACATCTATCGTTCTCATTAATATTACCAAATTTTTACATAATTTTACTTTGTATTTCATAATTTTATCATAACTAAGTTTATATTTTGGCAAGAAAGACATCTATTTCGAAACAATTTGGTTGTTCTTAATAACATAAGAAGTTTCTTGTAAAAGATGTTTGCTCTATGGAATATTTGCTGCATCCCATGGAACGGAATAGTTTCAAAACCTTGGATACGATGGGATGGGACTATCCCATTCTACACAGAGTCCTGATACACATTTTTTTGACTTATGAAACAAACTGGTTTGCTCATTATAAAAAACATATAGAATACACGAAATTATATAAACTAAAGAAATTATAACTAAACAACAAAAAGTGACAATCATTAATCTAAATGAATCCACTAGATCTGCTTTAAAAAACTCGAAGGTTTCAATTATGAGAAATTTATTGAAGTAATATCTCTTAAAGTATATTGACTTTACAGGCTTGTGGCCTATTTTGAGACCTATCGGAAGCACTATTTATTTATTCTTAACAAGTTGTCCTTTACAAAAATTGCTCTAAACATTTGCCGATCACTTTCCAATGTTAGCTTTAACCGATTCGTTAAACACATTTTTTTTCATTAGCAACAAGAATTATTTCATATTTCACAATTTAATTTTACATCGATTTTTGTCAATAACTTTTTTTCTTCTAGTATTTAAAATCCGAAAATTTACCCGAAACTCTTGTACGTGATTCAGCTTATCGAAAATTATTGGATTATACAAGTATAAATATTTTCTTTTTGATAATTATTAGGTTTGAGTTTTTTCTTTCGAATAGATAGTAATAAAAATACACTTTTTTCACCAAAACCACGACGATCTTTATTAGGTGCTTATCAAGATCTAAAACAATCAGTTTCGAAAGCATTTGAAATACGAACACATAATTCGATTTTTCAAATGAATAAACCATTACCATTACTTGCTTCAATGTAAAATAAATCATTTTAATATTCTCAAAAAAAGATTATTTATATTTATTTAGACCAATTGATAATCCATTCTCATCAACAATTGAATTTGATCATCGTCGAAGTCAAAATTTAATTAGTTATGTTATTCAACAAAATTCTCTACAATTTCATTTAATTATCTATACATCAACGTTAGTTAACTAATAAAAATTATCTTTTATTTTATTTTATTTTTTCTATAGAAGTAAACAATGTCTTGTTCGATTATTTGATTTTCAACATATTCTTGGTCCATATCGGTATGTTTTAAATTTACTTGGAATTAATTTATTTTATTTGATTTTTTCTCTATTTTAGTTCAATAGCGAATTTTAAACTTTATGATGACGATAAATTAGCCATTGTTTGTAGTAATACAATAGATTTAAATAATGGAAATACTAATGAAACAATGTTATTTAATACTAGTCATCAATCAAATTTAATGATAATTAGTTTTAAATCTTTAATAGATTCACAAACAATGGATTTTATAGAAAATAATAATACAAACACTATTTTATCGTATCCATTAAAAGATATACCCGCTAAATTAACTGTTGATGGAAGACGCAATCTAATTGCTGTGGTATGTATATGTTTATGAATATGTAATTAATCAAAGATAAGTTTTTTGATAAAGAGAAAATGATATTATTTATTTAAGTAGATCAAAGATCAAATAGTAAAAAATCTATATTACGTAGAAGAAAAATTTGGAAGTTTTTGAAATGAAATTTTATTCCAAACTTAAAATATTCTAAACAATATTATAACAAGTTCATTTTTTGGAAACGTTCAGCGAGATGACTCCTTCATCTAATTGAAGAAAATTGAGATTTTTTCATTTGAGAGAAGCCGATAGGTAAAGTTCGGTAGTGGGTGATAAACTAAAGTGTAACCATTTTTTTATTTGAAGGCTAAACTCATCTGATAATGAAATCAAATTTTAATACTAAAGTATTTAGTTATCAATATTCATACTAAAGAGATGAATAGAATTCTTTTTCATAATTTATTCTATTAATTAGACTGTATTGGAAGTTTGAAAAAAGTTATCGATTTTGCTTAAATGAATTTTTTTAATAGAAAAAGGATAGTAAAAACAGAACCCTTGCCGTAATTGCAGACTCTAAGTCTTCTACTATGCCCTAGGCTACAAATTTTCTACCGAGGTCTACTGTTTTATCCCATTTATTTTCATAATTTATTATAAAAAGGATTTTTCAAGAAAATAACAGAGAATTTTTAAGTTTTAAAAATCCTGAAATAAAGTTAATCTTACAATGAAAATCTCCCAACTGATAAATCGCTTTTGAATTCTGACCATGTGCATCGTGTAGATTGAAATGAGTTCAAACCCTTAACTTATTTCTACCGAGATATAGCATTTTTACAGCAGCAATGAAATAAGAACCTGAACTGTTTTCAGAGTA